GTGGGCAATTGTATGCCAATAAATTAGATAATGTAGATGAAATGGGTAATTCCTAGAAAGGCACTACCAAAACTGACTCAAGAAGAAATAGAAAATCTGAATAGATGTACAACAATAAAGAGATTGGATTAGTAATTTAAAAAACTACAAAATGAAAAGCTTAGGCCCTGATGGCTTCACTGGAGAATCCTACCAAGTATTTAAGCTGATCCCAATTCCTCTTCACAAAATTCAAAAAGTAAAAGAGGGAACACTTTTTAACTCATTCTATGAGGTATCACTCTGATATCAAAACTAGACAAAGATATCTCAAAAAAAAAAAACTACATACCAATCACTTTTAAATATATATCCAAAAATCCTCAAAAGTATACTAGTAAAATAGGGTTTAGCAGTATACAAAAAAGGATTTTGCACCTTGACCGAGTGGGATTTATCCAATTAACATAATGCATTGTATCGGTAGAATAAAGAACAAAAGCATAGGGTCATTTGACAAAACTTACTCTCCATTCAAAAACAAAAAAATGAGAACTTCCTCAACCTGATAAGGGGCATTTACAAAGAACCTACAGTTAATATCATACTTAATGATGAAAAGCTTTCTCCCAAGAAAGCAAGGAATTCATGCTCTTGGGTTGAAGGATAATATTAAGATGGCAATACTCCCTAAATTGATCTACAGATTCAATGCAGTCTCTATCAGAATCCCAGCTGACTTTTTGTTTGTTGCAGAAATTGACAATCTAATCTTTAAAATCATATGGAAATCCAAGGGACCCCCAAAATAGCCAAACAGTCTTGAAAAGGGTCAAAGTTGGAGGACTTAAATGATTTTAAAACTTATTACAAAGCTACAGTAATCAAGACAGTGTGGTTCTAGCATAAGACAGCATATTGGTCAATAGAATTGAATTGAGAGCCCAAGAAAAAAAACCCTTACATTTCTGGCCAATTGATTTGTGACAAATGTGCCAAGACATCTCAATAGGGGAAAGTATAGCATCTTCAATGAATAGTGCTGGGACAGCTGAATTCAGGCATACCTTGGAGATATTGTGGGCTTTGTTTCAGACCACTGCAGTAAAGCAAGCTGTGAATTTTTTGGTTTCTCAGTGCATGTACAAGTTATGTTTACATGACACTGTAGTCTATTAAGTATGCAATAGCATTATGTCTTAAGGAACATGCCTTAATTTTAAGATACTTTATTGCTTTAAAATGCTGATGATCATCTGAGCCTTCAGTGAGTCATAATCTTTTTGCTGGAGGATCTTATCTCAGTGTTGATGGTTGCTGACTGATCGGGGTGGCTGTGGCAATTTCTTAAGACAATGAAGTTTGCAGCATTGATTGACTCTTCCTTTCACAAAAGATTTCTCTGTATGTTGCATGCAATGCTGTTTGATAGAATTTTACCCACAGTAGACCTTCTTTCAAAATTGGAGTCAATCCCCTCAAAATCCTGCTGCTTTATCAACTAAGTTTATATACTCTTCTAAAACTACATCCTATGTGGTCATTTCAGTGAGGTTCACAGCCTCTTCACCAGGAGTAGATTCCATCTCAATAAACCACTTTCTTTGCTCCTTGTAAGAAGAAGTAACTCCTCATCTGTTAAAGTTTTATCGTGAGGTTGCAGCAATTGAATCACATCTTCAGGCAGGCTTCACTTCTAATTTAAGTTCTCTTGTTATTTCTACCACATCTACACTTGCTTCCTGAAGCCTTGATCTCCTTAGTTATCCATTAGTTTGGAATCAACTTCTTCCAAAGTCCTGTTAATGTTGGTTTTTGGATTTTTTTTTTTTTTTTTTTTTTTTTTTTTTTTTTTTGATTTTTTTTTTTTTTTTTTTTTTTTTTGCAAACTCTCTTCTATTTCTGGTCTTTTTTTCTTTTTTTTTTTTTTTTTTTTTTTGAGACAGGGTCTTCCTTTGCCACCCACAGGAGTCTCTCTCTATCACCCAGGCTAGTGTGCAGTGGCACAATCACAGCTCACTGCAGCCTCCACCCTCTGGGCAAGCAACCCACCTAAGTTTCCCAAGTATCTGGGACTACAGGTGTGTGCCACCACACCCAGCTAATCTTTAAATTTTTCTGTAGAGACAAAGTTTTACCTTGTTACCCAGTGTGGTCTTGAACTCCTGGGCTGAAGGGATCCTCCTGCCTTGACTTCCCAAAGTGCTGGGATTACAGGCATGAGCCACTGTGCCAGTCATAAATTTTAAAAAAAGAAAAAGCTGGGTATGGTGGCTCACACCTCTAAAACCAGCTTCCTGGGAGGCTGAGAAGGTCTCCTGAGCCCAGTAGTTCAAGGCTGCAGTGAACTGTGATCGTGTCTCTATACTCCAGCCTGAGTGACAGAGTGAGACTCCATCTCTAAAAAAATAAATCCAGTATTTACAATTGTACTTCCAGGTGTGATCTTGAGCAACTCTAAGATTTTACTTAATCTTAGATCATCAGTTTTTTTTTTTGTTTTTTTTTTTTTTGAGACGGAGTTTCATTCTTATTGCCCAGGCTAGAGTGCAATGGTGTGATCTCGGCTCACTGCAACCTCCACCTCCCGGGATCAAGTGATTCTCCTGCCTCAGCCTCCTGAGTAGCTGGGATTACAGGTGTGCGCCACGATGCTCGGCTAATTTTGTATTTTTGTAGAGACGGGGTTTCCCCATGTTGGTCAGGCTGGTCTCAAACTCCTGACCTCAGGTGATTTGCCTGCCTTGGCCTCCCAAAGTGCTGGGATTACAGGCGTGAGCCACTGTGCCTGGTCATCAGCATCTTCTTTTAACTTGGCAGAAATCTGACTTTAATGACACTAACATAATTACACATCTGACTTATCACAGAATATGCACAGAGAGGCCTCAGTATAGCAAAACCACCAATGAGAGAAGTTTAAAGTTGTTTTCAGTTTCTCTTGTCCTTAGGGTGGACCCATCCCAGGGTGTAGAATTAAGTTACTACATTTTTATGTTACTTAGAATAGAGCCTTGGTGGTTATGCCACTATTAGAAACCAAGGTAAGTTTACTTCTTTTCCTAATTTCAATTTTTAGAGGTTGCTTTAAAGAATTTGTATTTGGTCTTTTCTGGCAATATAAAATATTTTTAAAATAGTAACCATTTTAAAACATTTTATTCTTGGGCTGGGCACCATGGGTCATAACTGCAGTCCCAGCACTTTGGGCATAAAACATTCTTGCCTTGCCCTGAGAGGTCAACTTCAGTTGTCTTATACGTCCCTGTTGAAGCATGTGTACCTTTTCACTCTGATATGCTACAAACCCTGGGTCTGGGAGTTAACGGTGTGGGGATGCACCACCTCGAGGCCACCCGAGACATGGCTTCTGTTTCTAAGTCCCTATTAAATGTTTCTTTGTAGAAACTGGATTTGTCAGACTCTTTCTTCGGCCCCTTAGCTCCCTTCGTCTTTGGGGTCAGGTCTGCATATACCTGCTCACTGCAGAACCGTATGTTCAGCACCTGCAGGATTACATTGATCTGTCTTCCAGGAATCGACAGGAGGAAGGAAGCTAACCATTGCAGCTGGTCTTGGAACTTAACTGGTGTTCACAGTTCCCCTTTTCTACCAAGCACTTTGCTTTCCCCCATTGTTTTCCTGGGGAGATTGCCGGGGTGGAGGGCAGCAGGGCCATCTCGGAATAGAGTCCTTGGTCTAGCACCACAGCCCACCCACCATCAGTTCCAACAGTTCTGTAGTTCCTGCTGTAGCCTACCATGCTCCCATAATGATTACCTGGATGTTTTAATCTAGTTAGTTAAGAAATTGTTAGCAGACAGCCTGCAGAAAGCCTGGATGTGTAGTACTGGGGGCAGGGGGGACGGGCAAGCCTGGGCTCATGCTAGGGTCTGTGTCCCCATGACCTTATGGTTCTCACTCTTGGCTCACTGCTGTCCAGACCAAAGCCTTCCCCTCCCCATGAAGATTCACAACCCTTCATGACCTTGGGGTCAATGTGTTGATGATAAGATTTAATGGAATCTGGATCCAGGTGGCTTCTTCCCTGTGGTTTGACAGTGTACTCATCAAAATGGCTAAAATTTTTATTTTATTATTTATGTATTTTGAGATGGGGTATCTCTCTCCTGACCAGGCTGGAGTGCAGTGGTGCAGTCATGACTCACTGCAGCCTCGACCTCTCTTCGTCAAGTGATCCTGCCACCTCAGCCTCCCCAGTAGCTGGGATTACAGGCACATACCACCATGCTTGGCTGATTTTTATATTTTTATAGAGACGGTGTTTCCTTGTGTTGCCCAGGCTGGTTTCAAACTCCTGGACTCAAGTGATCCGCCTGCCTCGGCTTCCCAAACTGCTGAAATTACAGGTGTGTGCCCAGCCCAAAATTTTTTTAAATCTTGTGTGGATAGTCACGATAGGGGGAATCCCTGCTCAAGCCACCTGAAGTAGAGTTATTTATCCCCGCAAGGAAGTTTCCTGGGGAGGCTTCCCCTGAAATGGACATCGATGTCTGGGCACCTTCCCACTAACACTAGGATAAGTCCAGAAATGGTGGTCTCTCGGGTAGAGTAGAAGGAATCAAAGTCACTAGATTATTTGAATGAAACCAGAAGCGACCACAGGGAAAACAAACCCATCAGTGGATTTCCTGCAGCCCTCAGTCCTTCCCCATTCCGAGGAAGAAATCTACAAGAAAGAAAAAATAAAAACTTTCAAATTTTAGCAACAAAGGTCTTTGGTGCGTTTGCATTGTCACCAGTCTTTAAGGAGTAGATAATTGTCATGTTTCATAAACAATTACGGAGCACAACAGGAAAAAAGACCTGCCAGTTTGTTTCCAAATCCGATTTGCCTCTGATACGGGCCTCTTTTCTGTCACCTTTCACTGCTGGCTCTATGCCACCTGCAGACTCTTGTACCCTCCCTCCCTCTCACACACCCCTCACAAAATCTGGGACTTGGCACTGTCGGCCCCCCACAGGGATCAGCATTTGGGTGAGAAAATTTCAGGCTCAAATTGCTCTTAACCACGTTTATTGAGAGATGCAGGGGAAGGGAATGGACTGTCCGCCCCGCGGTGGGGGTTTTCAGCCTTCGAGGGTGGGCAGCCTCTTATCCTCAGGTGAGGCTACTCCAGTCTCGGCTCAGCCAAACATTGTCAGGGCCCCCTGGAAAGCAGAAGTCGCGCTTGAGTGCCCCCAGCCCTGCCACCAAGAACTCAAGCGAGGGTGCGGCAGCGGCGGGTTCTGTCCGGAGTGGGCGCCGGCGGTTCCGCTCGCGGCTAGGGAGACGCGCACCCGCGCCGGCCACCTCCGCCTTCCCCGCCCCTGCAGCTCGGATGCGCCTCACCCGTTTCCCACCGGGAGACCCAGACTTCTCCCAGGGACAGGGCTTGGAGGAGCAGGACGGGAAACAGCCCTGATGTAGGCCCAGGACACCTCTCGTGCAATTTTGAGGCTGTCGGGAAAAGGACGCCCGCACAGGGAGGGCACCCGGGGTACCCGCGTTACCAGCAAGGCCTTCAGGGCGCTTACGGCCCCCATGGCTTCGGGGCCCAGCTCAGCCACACACTTCTGGGAGCCCTCTATGAGACGGTTCACGGGGATGCCCATGGCGGTCAGCAGGAGCTTCAGCGGGTTGAGGGTGCCGAGCGGATTGGCCAGGGTCCCGGCCGCGGCCTCCTCCGCCGACTCCAGCGCGGCGACAGGCTGGGCCACCTGCTTGGCCGAGCCCACTAAGAAAGCAGCAGCTGCAAGAGAACCGGGAGCGGTCACCGCGTGTGCACAGGAGTCCCCAAGAAGGCCGGCCAGGACGCGCCCTCGCGGGAGGTGCCAAGGAACCCTCACGCCCTGCCCGGCTCCCTGACCGCCCCCTGCCTCCTGCGCTGAGGCCTTCCCGGTGCGAGTCCCGGGGACACAGGCGGGTCTGTAAAGGCGGCTCCGCGAGGATACGCTGCAGGGACAACGGGGTGGCCTGGAGGTGGCAGAGGGACAGGTGAACTCTGTGCAGTCTCCAGGGAAGGCCCCTAGAGGAGGGTACACTTGCGCTGCGCCTTGCAGGATAAAGAAACTGTCGCCAGACAGGGACAGGCGGCTGTCCCCAGGCCACGGGTGACCGCTGTCCTGGCCCAAGGTTGGAAAGAGCCCTGAGAGTTGGGAGGCTGAGGGCTGCAGCCACGGGAAGTGCAGGCGCGAGGTCCTCAGGAGGGCAGCCGGGGGGAGGAGCCCTCAGAGCTCTGGGCGAGGCTGCAATGACCCTGGAGGCCAGGACCTGCGCGGGCGGGGGCCGGGGCGCAGCGGGCGCTGAGTTCCAGCTTGCAGGTCTGGAGCCCACGGCACTCACCGGAGCTGCAGGAAAGGGCGACACAGAGCCCCAGGAGAGCGGCAACGAGCTTCATGGCGCAGGGGCTGGGGCGCGCTGGGTCCTGCGGCTGCCGGAGCCTGATCACAAGGCTTCATATACCAGGTCCTCGCCCCTCCCTGGCCTGCCTCGCCCACGCTCCCGAGAAGCCCTGCCTGCCCCGCTCACGGTCAAGCCCTGGCCAACTTCCTGCTGCGGCCAACGCGCCCTGGGAAGCCGGTGCCCCCTTCCCCGCCCGGGACTCAAGGACTTCCTCTTGGCAGGGGCTCGGGTCCAGGGCTGGGCCTTCTGAGAGCAGGCAGGGCTGGCTTTTGTCTCTGCGAGGCCCACCCCGGCCCGCACCTTTGCTTTGCAGTCTGACCCCATGGGCCTCATTGCAGGGCTGGGCCCAGGTGTGGCGGAGGTTCCCTCGCGCAAGAGCAGAGGCTGGATTGGTCCAGGTCCTGCCTCAGAGGTGGCAGCAGGTCGGTGGTCCCTGCCTCTGATCCCAGACCGTGGCAATGTCAGGCAATGTAGGTCCTCATGGCGCCTTCTGAGCCGGGGGAAGCCAAGGTGGAGGCAGCAGAGACGATGAGATCTCACTCATGGTCACCTCCCTGGCTGGGCCATAGGCAGCCATAATGCAAACCTAAAGAATTGGGACGTTTTTCTGTCTTTGAAATTAGCCTCTACGCCAGTGGATGGGCCTGGTTTGTTCCAGGGTTTCTCTCAATATCTTCACTCCTCTGTCACCTGCAGAAGTACAACAGATGGAGAGCAAAACGTATTTTGAAAACTTTTGCAAATGATACATAAATTAATTTGCTTTTCGTCCTTTTCTTTCCTCTATTTCTTGACCCCAAGCATCTAGCATTGAGTGACTTACTTCTTGGTTCATGGCTGATCTCAGCATTGGTTGGTGCAAAGCCTCCCTTTTCTTTTGTAAAGTGTAGCTGTCATCTGCAGGAAACAGGCTCCTGGGTGGGAGGACCTGACTCCTGAGGCGATGTCCTGGAATTCCTTTGCCATGGCTGATAGCATGTCTTAGCCTTCAGCTGCCCACAGCTACTGCGGCCTCCTCCCGACCTGCAGACAGTTGTGGCTTGCTAACTGTCATGACCAGGTGCATGCATTCACATTGTTCTGTTCACTTACACTTTCCCTTGACTATTTTCTCTGGGAGATTTTTGCATGATAAATCTGGAGTTTGGTTGTGTTATGTTTTGTTGGTCATCATGGAAGTAATTTTAATGGGAAATACATTTTCTTTTTAAAAACATTTTTAAATTAACTAATTTTTTGATCGAGTAAAGACACTGCCTTGCTCTGCTGCCCAGGCTGGTCTTGAACTCCTGAGCTCAAGCAATCCTCCCACCTCAGAGTCCCGAGTAACTGGGACTGGAGGTATGAGTCACCATGCTCAGCCAATTTTGATTGTGTTTGTTTGTTTTTTCAGACAGAGTCTCACTCTGTCGCCCAGGCTGGAGTGCTGTGACATATCTTGGTTCACTGAAGTCTCTACCACCTGGGCTCAAGCAATTCTCCCACCTCAGCCTCCCAAGCAGCTGGGGCTACAGGTGTGCACCACTATGTCCAGCTAATTTTGTTTATTTTTTGTAGAGACAAAGTCTCACTATGTTGCCCAGGCTGGTCCTGAACTCCTAGCCTCCAGTGACCCTCTTGCCTCAGCCTACCAAAGTGCTGAGATTATCGGTGTAAGCCACGATGCCTGGCTTGATTTATTTTTATTTTTTGTAGATATGGGATCTCCCGGTGTTGGCCAAGCTAGTCTCAAAATCCTGACCTCAAGCAATCCTCCCACTCCAGACTTCCAAGATGCTGGGATTACAGGTGTGAGCCACTACGCTTGGCCCATCTTCACCATTTTAAGGGTACAGTCCATTGGCATTAAGTATATTCATAATGTTGTGCAAACATCATCATAATACATTTCCAGAACTCTTTTCCTCTTATAAAACTGAAACTCATCCGGGCACGGTGGCTCACACCTGTAATCCCAGCACTTTGGGAAGCTCAGAAAGGTGGATCAGGAGGTCAGGAGTTCAAGACCAGCCTAATCAACATGGTGAAACCCCCCCATCTCTACTAAAAATACAAAAAATTAGCTGGGCATGGTGGCGTGTGCCTGTAGTCCCAGCTACCCAGGAGGCTGAGGCAGGAGAATTGCTTGAACCCAGGAGGCAGAGGTTGCAGTGAGCCAAGATCGTGCCACTGCACTCCAGCCTGGGCAACAAGAGCAAGACTCCATCTCAAACAAACAAAGTGAAATGGTGAGCCCATTAAACAACTCCCTCCTCCCCTCCCCCAGCCCCTGGCACCACCATTCTACTTACTGTCTCTGAATTTCGCAACTCCCGGCACCTCATATGAGTGGAGTCATGCAGTATTTGTCTTTTGTGTCTGGCTTATTTCACTTAGCGTGATATCCTCAAGGTTCATTCATGCCTGCAGAGTTTCCTTCCTTTTTAGGGTAGGATACTACTCCATTGCATGGCTATGCCACATTTTCTTCACCCATTCATTTCACCTGTGGATGGACACATGGGTGCTTACATGTTTTAACTGCTGTGAGTCATGTGGCTATGAAGGCAGGTGTACAAATGCCTCTTTGAGACCCTGCCGCTGGCTCTTTTTGGTGGCTCCTGAAGTAGAACGGCTGTAGCCTGTGGTACTTGCATGTGCCATTTGGTGAGGATCTGCCATCTCTCTCACAGTGGTGGGACCACCCTGTCTTCTCAGCAGCGAGGCACAAGGGCCCCAGTGTCTCCACGTCCTCATGATGCTTGTTATTCTCCTGAGCAGGATCTGGCAGCCTTGGCCCAAGCAATCACAGTGGGCACATCTTGGGAGCTGACTTTGGGCCACCTTCCCCCATGCAGCCTGGGGACCAGAGAACACTTCGGGGAAAGACCAGATGATGCAGAGGACAGGAGGAGGGGGAGGTGGTGACCTGTGGGTCCCCAGCAGCACTTGGGATCCTGGTCACTCCCGTGGCCCCTTGCACTCACCTCCAGGGATTCTTTGTCTTTAAAATAACCTCCCTCCACCTTCCGGTTCATGGTGCTTTGGGTGAATCTGTTCCCATTTCCCACAAGCCTGCAGGGCGGCGACAGGCCCTCAATTCCCACGTACCCCAAGATTTCAGATTCCAAAAATACATCCCCCAGTTCCCCAGAGAATTGTGTCATGGTGTCCCGGTTTCACCATTGACAGGGCCAAAGGATGCGCTCTCCTCTCCCGAGCTGCCACGGTCAAGCCAAACCAGGACTCACCCCAGGCTGTCCCAGCCCCTCACCCCACACTGGCTCTGGAGGCAAAGCCTCTGCAGTAGCTGGGAATCAGGGAGGCCGAGGGTCTGGCCTGCACCCAGACCTGCACAGCTGGGTCAGCAGCTGCCTCTGTATTCATGTCCTGAGGCTGCTGTGACAAGTCATCACATACCTGGTGGCTGAAAACAACACATTTATTCTGCTCACCGTTCTGGAGCCCAGAAGTGCAGCATCACGGGGGTGAAGGTGAGGCCTCGGCGGGGCTGCTCTTCCTGCAGAGACTGGAGGACCTCGTCCACTCCTGGCCTCTCCCTGCTTATGGGGGCTACCAGGGCCCCTTGGCTGGTGGCTGTAACACTCCAGTCTCTGCCTCCCTGGTCACATGGCCTCCTCTTCTGTGTGTGTGTGTGTGTGTGTGTATTTTGAATGTGTGTGCAAGTAAGTGTGTGTGAAGCAGAGTTGAGTGTGTGTGAGGGACAGTGAATGAGTATGAGAGTTTGTGTGTGAAGGAGAGTGAGTGTGGGTGTGAGTGTGGGTGTGCTTGAGGTTTGAATGTGTGCAGCTGTGTGTGTGTGTGAATAATGTGAGTCTCTGAGTGAGTCTGTGAGGAAGAGAGTGCGGCAGTGAGTGTAGGTGCAGCTGTGCATGTGTGCATGTGAATATGTGTGTGTGAGTGTGGATGGGTGAGTGAAACCTCTGCCGCTATCTTAAGAGTGTGTGTGTTGTTGCATTTAGGGCTCAGTTGGATAATCCAGGACAGTCCCCTCATCTCACAGTGATGGCCCGGTCAGGCTGCCGAGACTGTCTCTGATGAACTTAACATTCCAAGGTTCCAGGAGTTGGGGCCTGGGGGGGCCTGGGTCCTGCCATGCCCTCCAAGTGCTGCCCTGCCCCTTGTAGGCTAGGCCAGGTGAGGCTTCCAGGGTGGGTGCCAGAGTCCGCCTGGCATGGGACAGGGGCAGGGGGGCAGTGCCCCTACATCAGCCTGGGCCTTCCCTGCCACTCCTGCCCGCAACCCCTGCTGGTGCAGGTCGGCCGTGACACTGAGAAAACACTTGGTACTGTCTACAGATGATAGCCTGTCCTGGGCGATGTTTGCAGGGCATCTTTTAGGCCAAAACAAACATGCACACCTTGCCCACTCCCACGGAATGCAGGAAGAGGTGGAAGGTAAACAAGCACTTTGTGGCTCTGGGGAAGGGGCCAGATATTGAACCTGGGGCCTATGGAAGGACCTCAGGGCGTTGGAGCAGGGTGCTCAGCCCTGGATGTTCCTGCCGGGGGAGCCTAGAAGCTCACGGTGCCTCCGCCCAGCCCACACTTAGGCAGTGCTTCCACAGACACCTACAGAGGGCTGTCCAGGTGGCAGACGCCCACTCTGATGCCCCCTTATCTCTCTGATTCCCCCTCATCTCTCTGATGCCCCCTCTCTCTCTGACGCCCCCTCTCTGATGCCCTCTCTCTGATGCCCCCTCTCTCTGATGTCCTCCTCTCTCTCTGATGCCCCCCTCTCTCCGATGCCCCAATCTGTGATGTCCCCTCTCTCTCTGATGCCCCCCTCTCCATCTCTGATGCCCCCTCTCTCTCTGATGCCCACTCTCTCTCTGATGCCCCCCTCTGATGCCCCACTCTCTGTGATGCCCCCTCTCTCTCTGATGCCCCCTCTCTCTGATGCCCCCTCTCTCTGATGCCCCACTCTCTGTGATGCCCCCTCTCTCTCTGATGCCCCCTCTCTCTGATGCCCCCTCTCTCTGATGCCCCACTCTCTGTGATGCCCCCTCTCTCTCTGATGCCCTCTCTCTCTGATGCCCCCTCTGATGCCCCACTCTCTTTGATGCCCCCTCTTTGACAACCCCTCTTTCTC